TATATACTTGTTCTAACCTTTGCAGTTATGATCGTGTTTGTTAGGGCAATGAACAGCCATGTACCATAAAAGCCTGGTCTTGCAAAGGGGTTTTACAAGGGCAAATCCATTTACCATGTTGGCAAATGTTGAGACAAATGATATTCGTGATGATGGTTAACCATAGTGAAATTGAAAAAAAAAACACTTAAGTGTTACATTGACTGTGGCTTGACAATAATTACAATATCTTCTTTAAATGACTGTGTCATGTACGTATAGAAAGTTACTGTAGAAAATAAAATTGAAAACCCTTTAAATTTTATCAAATTGAACCACTGATTTTTGTTTTGGTTTTGCTGAATTTTTACATTTATATAAACAAATGTATCAATGTTTATATACAATATACACGTAAAAGAAATTAGTTAACAAATAATGTTACTGCTTGTTTTTACACTCTTATATGCATGTACATGTTTGAACTTTCATAATGCTTTTATAGGTTTTGAAATAAGATATTGATTCATTCAAAAAGAATGTAAAAAAATCCTAGTAAAGCATCTCTTTTAATTAAAATAATAAATACAATTAGTGTCAATTGATACATTTTTTGACTGTATCTTCTACGATTTTTCACATTATCATTAAATTTGACGCTGCTTTGATTCAGAAAAGTAGTAAAATAAGTTTTAAATTATGCAAGCTTCCTTAAAATAATGTTAAAGGGCTGATACCATTTGTTAAATTCAAAATTTGCAAAAGTATAGCTTAAAGAATATTTCTTGAAATATTTCCATGATGGCGGCCATCTTGGTGGCCATCTTGGATTTCTTTGATCGCCATCATTTTTGCCAATTTATACCGGTGGTTTCATATACTACAGACACTAATGAACATTTTGGTAATATAATATCATTGTTGCAATGACTGTCCAGGTTCATCATTTTCTAGGTCCCGATTGTCACCCTACCATAAGCACCGTGGTCCTGCTGTGCTTTAATTTCCAAATCTCACTGCTGTGCCTTAAAAATCACCTCAGTGCTTGTTTTTAGCTCACCTGTCACAAAGTGACAAGGTGAGCTCTTGTTATTATCACAATTCGTCCAGCATCAGTTCTTCAGTTGTCCGTCCGTAAACTTTTACTTTAAACAAGATCTCCTCATAGACCACAAAGCCAACTTCACAGGTGGTCACCTTTAAAAATTGTTCAAAGAATTTGATCCATGCAGAACTCTGGTTGCCATGGCAACCGAAAGAAAAACTTAAATAATCTCCTTTTAAAAAATCCAAAGTGCTAGAGCTTAGACATTTGGCATGAGACATCTTCAAGTAGATGTCTACTAATGTTGTTCAAATAAAAGCCATGGGGTCAAAATTGGCCCTGTCCTAGGGTGTCGTTTGTTTTCCATATATGTAGATAGGAAAAACTTCAATGATCTTTTAAAGAATGCAAATAGCTAGAGCTTAGATATATTGCATGAAACATCTTCTAGTGAGTGCCTACCAAGTTTGTTCAAATAAAAGTCCTTGTGTCAAAATTGCGGGCCGGAGGGGGGACGAGTGTATAACTGGTTATTTCTGCGGGTGCAAATATTTGCGTTTTGGGACTGAAAATGGGTATATTAATTTTGTGAATTAAATTTCTGTGTTTTTCATCAAATTCGTTTATAAAATTTAATTTCTGTGTTTTTCTATTAAATTTTTGGGAGTGGGTTCTTTGAAGAGAAAGGTAAAGTGTCAAGTATAAAAAGTTTGTATTTCATATGATAAAATATATCCATATAGCGCATCTAAAAATACAAGTTAAAAGCAGAATGTTTAAAATATATAGTAAAATTATAAATTTGTTGCCCAGACTTTAGGCAAAAATTAACTTTCGGTCTCCTTTAATGTCCATGTGTACCTCATGTATCCACTGTGTCCCCGAGGTTCTCATGTCAACAGGCTTGAGACTGTCGAATGCGCAGTCAGCTTTAGCCAGTTTCTTAGAAATACATTAGCATACCGATTTAAGCTTATCTTTAACAATAATTTTACACAGATAAATTCATGGGCTGAAGCTTGTCAGTGAAATTTGGTGGAACATAAAGAATTTCAATTTGATTTGTGTATTGAATAATTCAACAGGTAAATTTAGGTGACATTTAACAGGGTAAATTGAATATAAAACTACAAAATATTTGCGAATTTAATTTTTGCGGTTGGAAGGGACCCGTTAAATATTGCAGAAATGAGCTATCTGCAGAAATAACCAGTAATACGGTATATAGGAAAAACTTAGAAAAATCTTCTTTTAAAAAATCCAAATAGCTAGAGCTTAGATATTAAAGTGACATTATGCCCATTCAAGGGTATATAGTGAGTGAACGGGTGAAGATCAAAATAAGTTTTCAGTTATCATTTTGCCATAAATCCTTTCAATTTAAAAATTAAGTTCGCATAAACACACAGATCCAAATGAAATTTCTGTAAAGATCCATTAGAATTTACCTGTAATGCTTAGTTTATAAAAAGAGTGGGACAGTCTTTTTAAATTTAGGCAGATTTATAATTTTATCCTAACATTTTCCAATAAAACACCATTTTGACAGTCAATCTTTTGAAATATAAAGTCAATTCAGCTCAACATGACTATGAAAATATGAGCATAATGTCTCTTTAAGCATGAAACATTTTCTAGTGAGTGTCTAATAAGTTTGTTCAAATAAAACCAGGGGTGGGTCGGGGGGGGGGGGGGTCATTGGTTTTCCTTATATGTTTGTAGGAAAAACTTTACAAAAATTTCTTTTAAAATATCCAATTAGCTAGAGCTTTGATATAAAGCATGAAACATCTTGTAGTGATTGTCTACAAAATTTGTTCAAGTAAAAGCCCTGGGGTCAAAATTGGCCTTGCCCTAGGGGTCATTGATTTTCCTTATGTTATATTAAGTATAAACTTAATAATCTTACAATCTTCTTTTAAAAATCCCAAGGAGCTAGAGCTTTGATATTAAGCATGAAACATCTTTTCATGGGTGTCCACCAAGATTGTTCAAATAAAAGCCCTGGGGTCAAAATTGGCCCTGTCTGGGTGGGGGGTCATTGATTTTTCTTATATGTATATAGTAAAATTTTTAAAAATCTTCTTTTAAAAAACTTAAAGAGTTAGAGCTTAGCTATTAGGGATGAAACATTTTCTAGTGATTGTCTACCAAATTTGTTCAAATAAAAGCCCTAGTGTCAAAATTGGCGGGGCCCGGGGGTTATTGGTTTTCCTTGTATGTATATAGGAAAAATATCTTCTTTTAAAAAACCCAAATAGCTAGTGCCTAGATATTAAGCATGAAATATCTTCTTATGGGTGTCTACCAAGTTTGATCAAATAAAAGTTCTGGGGTCAAAATTGGCCCCCTGTGGTTCATTGAATTTCCTGATATGTAAACATCTTTTGGTACTGCTGTTTCCCTTAGCAATAGCAATAAGTAATGTTTTTACACATGCACTATTTAAAATACAAATATGAACTTTGTGATATCATGTTAAATTTAGATTTAATATCTCCTTTTGTTTATAGTTTACAATATTACTTGTTCCTTGTCCTTGGGAGTTTTTATTTCAGCTGAGCAATTTCAGGGCCATCATGGCCCTCTTGTTAAACATTTCCACAACTTTTATTATATTTTTATTTAACAACATCTAAATGAATAACTGCATTTATTTATTGTATCCTTTTAGATGTTGTTTTTACATTACAGGTTGGTGATATTGTACAAGATATTGTAGACTCTAGTATTGGGTCAACAGTTATTGGTCGTGGATTTACAAGATTAGTTGTTGAAGATGTCATACGGAGACTACTCAGAACTGGAAGTAAATCATTTCTATTGTGTGTCAAACATAAATAAGTGCCTTGGTTACATACCAATATTAAACAGGGAGTAATTTGGTTTTCCTGATATGTAATTGTAAACCTTTAAAAACCTCTTTTTTAGACTCCATGGGCAATTGATTATTGTCCTGAAACATCATCAGATAAATCTCTACCAAGAATGTTCAAATCATGTCCCAACAAAATTGGCATGAAACATTATCTTGTGGGCCAAGGTTTTGCTGAAATTACGGCCTTTGAAGTCAAAATTACCCTGCCCTGGAAAACATGGTTTTCCTTATAAGCTTTTTATATTTTTAATGGAAATGTATGCATGAGGTTGAAATTGCATGTGTAGGTAGTTTACCAAAAAATGCAAGTTATATCAAGCTCTTTAGGATAAAAAATTGGTCCCATCTTTGGGGTCACAAAATTTACATAAACTTACAGCTAAAAAAACAACAACAAAAAACAGCAAGAACAATTTTAAACCTTCTTGTTCATTACTGCATGGCCTTCAGCTGCCTCATCTTACATTTCTGGCATGTTGCATGCTATAAGAATCTTACACTAACGATATCTATCTTGAGAGTAAGCGGTAACGAGTTTCCGCTAAACAGTTACCTGATAGTTAGATATTCCCGTCTGTATTAATAGCCAGTGTTTGATTTTTGGCCTGGTTGCACCGGCGGGCGGGGAAAATATTTTCTTAACAGTTTTCTCAGCAACTATCACAGCCTCTTGATATTTGGTATACAGCATTAAGACATGGTCCCTAACAGTGGGATTCAAATTCAGGTATGTTGTTCATCAACTTTCTATTTACTGACCTAGTTAAATTTAGACATTAATGGTGAATGATAGGAAATTGATATTTGATATACAGCATTAAGACCTGATCCTATACGGTGGGATTCAATTTCAGGTCTGTCAGTCATCCACTTTGTGTTCACAATAATGACCAATGATTATTATCCTACTATCTTAGATTCAGTCTTTCAAATATGTTCCATTTGTAAATTTCAGTGTTTGAAATCTAAATTTTGCATTCATTGCATGGAACATTGTTGTCCTTTTGTTAGAGTAATAGCTCTTTATATACATTGCTTTGGAGAAACATTTGTAATTTTAAGGCATTGTAATAAAAAAATTGATTTGTATATTTACAGAACGAGTTACTGCTGACAGTATCATTTGCGAGATTAACAAAGAGAATGTAAACATTGGCGTCCAATTTTCATGAGGAAATATTTTAACACCTGTGCTTAGAGATCATGATAAAAAACAGTGTATAAACATTAAAAAGTAACATAGGACAAGGTGGGAATACATTACTGGGAAAAAGATAGAGATTCATCAATTTAGTAACAGATACATTAAAATACAGACAAATATCAGTGATATATGGATATATCGATATATACTCCTAATTTCTTGTGTATAATTCACTTTCATATATGTTCTGTTCATACAAATGTGTTTTGTCCTGTTCATTAATGTCCTTTGCAGGATATTTTCTTACCATTTTTTTGTCATCACTGCTATGAAATGTGTCCATTATGTAACAACAGCTAAGTGTTAGACATGGCCACCTGCTTTTGTTTTGGGTGAATTCAATTATCATAATTCATGGACATTTAAATAATGTTTAACAATTATCGATTTTTTCAAAGGTGGGGGCGTCCGTGGCCGAGTGGTTAAGGTCGTTGACTTCAAATCACTTGCCCCTCACCGCTGTGGGTTCGAATCCCAACAGGGACTTTGGATTCTTTCATGTGAGGAAGCTATCCAGCTAGCTTACAGAACGTCGGTGGTTCTACTCGGGTGCCCGTTCGTGCCTGAAATATGCACGGAAGGGCACCTGAGGTCTTCCTCCACCAGTAAAAGCTGGAACGTCGCGATATGACCTATACTGTGACGTAAAACCCAAAACAAAACAACAAAATTTTAAAAGGTGTATCAATTGTTGATCAACAGAAAAATATCAATGATATAACAATATTGTTTCTATCGTTGACGGCTCTAAATTAGAATATACTCACATAGACTAGGTCCAAAAGTTGGAAGTCAGAGACTGCAAAATGTCTTACACTGGAAGTCACATTATATAGGTAAAGAAGGAATTTGGTTATATTTTGGAAGTACCAGGTCAAAATCAGAAGTTAATGACTCCCAAACTTTCTGGAATGGATGCCCTGTAGAGACACTGAAATGAAAAGATGATTTTAATTTTTGGTATTTTCGACTGATTTGATATACTTACTATATAATACTCTGTTCTTCACAGTTCAGGACCCCATTGGAAATAAGCACACCAGCTTAATGGGCTATCCTTGTAACCATAGATCACTTTTAAACAAAACCTTTGTATTGAAATTTTATTGAAATTCTTTTATTTCTTTTATGTCATGTTTATCAGTAACTTTAAACAATATTCTGTGATAATTATGATTCTGACTGTTGTAGTCTTAATCTGAAATGTGATTTTATTAATTTATTTATTTACTTTTTTTTGTAAAATACATTCTTTCAATGCCTCATCTGATTTCAGTCATTAACTAAATTTGTTTTATTTATTATTAATATGAAATGATATTTTAATTTGGATAAACTGTTATTTTATATATATATATATATATATATATATATATATATATATATATATATATATATATATATATATATATATATATATATATATATCTTATTATGTAACTGTGATCTATGTTGTTGCTAAAATAAAATAAATAAATAAATAAAAATCACAGATAAGTATTATTAGAAATCCTCTAGTTTCATCTAGTAAATCTACTTTCAGGATTTTCCTGATTTATTGGTAATATGTGAAAAGACAGTTCTAAATAATGGCTTAATTCATTCAATCAAATAAATAAAAATAGCAAGTTTATAGAATGATAATTTGTCAAATAAATGTCATTTCTGTATTTCGAATGTTTATAGAGTGAAATGCCCTAGTATATTTATATTAGATACTATGTTCTTGTTAATTTAACGTATACAAAGGTATGCAACTATTAGGCCTACATTGCAAGATATGATCATCTAATTGTATAGTAAAGATGCAAATGATGCTGTCTTTCAAATTGTTTTAACTATTCTTATATTCTATAGATATTTTTGTAGTGTATAAGTTAGGAAGAATGTCTAACATGAATTGTTTGTTTATAGAGTTAACATCATAGATATAATGCAGAAATATATATTTATAAAATAATTGTAGCATTTCAGTAAGACGATATCTGATAGTTATATAATGGGTATAATAATGTGTTATATAATATGTATAATAATATTCATATCATTGTTAAAGACCTCGTTGTAATTAGCAGACATATCTGAAAGTCATTTAATGACTATAATTATGAACATTGTTAGAGGCCTTGTACTAATTTAGCAGTCATATCGGACAGTTATATAATGACTATAATAATGAACATTGTTAGAGGCCTTGTACTAATTTAGCAGTCATATCGGACAGTTATATAATGACTATAATAATGAACATTGTTAGAGGCCTTGTACTAATTTAGCAGTCATATCGGACAGTTATATAATGACTATAATAATGAACATTGTTAGAGGCCTTGTACTAATTTAGCAGACATATCGGACAGTTATATAATGACTATAATAATGAACATTGTTAGAGGCCTTTGTACTAATTTAGCAGACATATCGGACAGTTATATAATGACTATAATAATGAACATTGTTAGAGGCCTTGTACTAATTTAGCAGACATATCGGACAGTTATATAATGACTATAATAATGAACATTGTTAGAGGCCTTGTACTAATTTAGCAGTCATATCGGACAGTTATATAATGACTATAATAATGAACATTGTTAGAGGCCTTGTACTAATTTAGCAGTCATATCGGACAGTTATATAATGACTATAATAATGAACATTGTTAGAGGCCTTGTTACTAATTTAGCAGTCATATCGGACAGTTATATAATGACTATAATAATGAACATTGTTAGAGGCCTTGTACTAATTTAGCAGTCATATCGGACAGTTATATAATGACTATAATAATGTACATTGTTAGAGGCCTTGTTCTAATTTAGCAGTCATATCTGACAGTTATATAATGACTATAATAATGAACATTGTTAGAGGCCTTGTTCTAATTTAGCAGTCATATCGGACAGTTATATAATGACTATAATAATGTACATTGTTAGAGGCCTTGTTCTAATTTAGCAGTCATAAGATGACTTTAATTTTTGTTTGGTGTTTACATCACCTGAAGGACCACATGCTCAAGTTTAGCAAATAAGGCTCACTATTTAAATTTATGATTTTAATTTTACTTTAAAAACTTTATATACTTTTGTTCTCTATCAATTTTTTTAATGATGGGATTGACTTCAGGTTTCAAATTGTTATCATAGAAATGTCTGTTAAATTTTTATTGACATCGTCACATGCATTTGATGTGGTGCAAAAATATTAAACATTTAAGTGCCTTATTAATACTGGTGCATATATATATATTTATATCATAATTGATTTGTTTTCGTAGTTTTGTCTTCCTTTACCAGTATTTTTTATGTCCAGTATTTAATTATTTGACCATCATTGTCTCCTCTGACATTTCTTGTTATGTATTTTTTGTTATGTTGAGATATACCATATTTTATATATTTTGCATTATGTTCAATTTCAGCATTAATGCAAATTTTTATTGTTTTGTAAAAATTTGTTTTATCATATGTCATGTATCATTATTTTAGTTATTTTTTCAACTTTGTTAATTTCAAGCAGTCTATTTTAAGAATAATGAGTACTGTTCTACTAATCTCCACCTAAGCATCAGTACCGGTATTTGTTTAGTTTTTTGTTAAAATTTAATGTGCTATTTATGTCATACATAGTTCAGATTCAAATTTCACTGGTGCATTTTAACTGTTTAGATTTGATGTTATTGTGTCTTATTAAAAGTCCATTTTTTACACTGGCTAACACAGGCTAAAGTTTTGCTCAATTTTTGGGTTTGAATTTTACCTGCAAGCTAATTGAAATTTAAATCAGGCTATCAGTTAAAATTTGTATCTTCTTAAGGTTCTTGTTTGGCAATGAAGTACTGAAATGATGTGATGCCTGTCTCACCCCTTGTTGCATTTAACTGTTTTTGTTTGGAAAATTTGAATACTGACCTTTCTTAATGACTGAAGTTCAAAATTTGTGATGTTAAAAAAATTTGAATTTGAAACATTCCTACATTATTATCTGTTATTTTGTTTTTATAAAGTTATTTTTAATAAACAGATCAGGACTGTTCATTTTTATACAATGTATTTTTATGTAAAATATATTGTTTTCATATACAAGCATATTTTCTGTGATGCCCATATTGTGATCTATGTTTGTTTGAACAAAAGTAATAGTTTAAAATCAAAATTTAAAAAAGAAATAAAGTGATAACAATAAGATTGTTGAAATATATGTTGTTGATATATTAGCTTGTCTGTTTCAAAGAAAAGGTTGAGTTGTATTTTGTTTCTTTGTTTTTAATGACCCTAGTTATGTGAGGTAAATGTTAGAATATCTATATTGTTTAAGAAGATTTGTTATAATTTATAGTTCTTTAGATAAATACTTATGTTGTAGAAATAAACAAAACATTGATTTGATATGAATTATACACATACATCTTGATGATTATTGGTATATAAGTTGTTTATAGGTTATATAACCCAGTATAGATTGTTGTAGGCTTATTTCAGACATAAGCCAAGTATTATATATAACAAATTCATTTAACCATATAACCTTAAATATATAGTCTACGCAATTGTTCTTAAGCAAATCCTTAAGCAAGCTTCATACCATTTTCTAGGGATGAGATTCATAAAGATTCATTTCAAATGACACCAAAGATCAGATTTCTACATGATTAAATTCAACCAAACATTCCATTTATATGTAATATAAGTATCATATATTTGTTTTTATTATATAATCTATAAATAGCTTTGAAATGCCTTTCCCTTATTGCCTAACAAATAACTTTTTGTAAAACATAACATGTCAATATAAGAGTATATTCACTGTTTTTTTTTTGTTGTTGCTTTTTTCTAAAATAGATTTTCAGAGTATATTCACTGGTTTTTCTTCTAAAATTAGATTTTTTTGAAATCCCCTGAAAGACGCAAGACTATGACATGATGTCACACTAAGTTTGTTGTAATTGTTCTGAAAAAAACGTTGAGTGACTCTTAAATAAGAGTCAAATTAGACAATTTTAGTTACCGTCTTTACATTTTTTAGAACAAAACAAAGATGCGTGCCAATGCGCTCATTTAAAAATGGAAAAAGAAGACCACCCGAAAAATAAAAGATTTCCGACATATGCAATGGAAGATTTGATAAGCCATATAAAAGCAATTTATAAATTATATAATAAAAATAGATATGTACTTTTTAGCTGGTGAATATAATGTGATATGTACTGAAAAATTAATATTGACCTCGGCTATCACCTGGGTAAAAAGTCCATATTTGTATAATATATGATACTTACATTA